AAAAAAAAAAAGCCAATTTTTCTTTAACACTGACCTCAACGGTCATCCTTATTGTTGAGTTTATGTATTTATTCTTTCTCTTTACAAAACCTTGTAGACCTCGTTAGGTTTGGAGAGGCGCAAAACTCCCTAAATTCCCCTTGATTGAGGAGGAATGCCTTATCTACCCTTGATGCATATTTTTGAAAATATGTAATAAACCATTTCTATTACACAAATAGCCAATATGGCATGAGCATTTCTCAGTACCAGTTCTTATGCATTTAGTGCAGACCGAGCAACCTTTGGTGATTTGATTCTGGTACTACTCGCACCTAGAGATGGGTACCACAGTATCACAACCTCCCTGGCGATGATTGTCTTTTCCATTATGTAACATTTCTTTTTTTTTTTTTTTTTTCCTTTTTTTTTATATCATAATCAAATTTTCTGATAAAATGTAAAAATATTTAGAAATAACTTTCGGTCTGTATTAAAATGAATTCACTTTTTGAGTTAGTTTGATAAAATAAAAATGTTTTTGCAGATATTGTAAAATCTTTTTTTCAGTACCCGTTTAACACATCTGTTACTAAAATAATAATAAAAAAAAAGCCCCTGGGGAATTGCTGCAAAGATCATACACATGCCTGCCTTCTCTCTATAATATCAAACTTTCATTTACAGTAAAAATAGTTTTGTTGGTGCAGGTAAGATAAAATAAAATAAAAAAAAACAACAACACCAAACATTGCTTTTTAAAGTGTTTCATCCTTTTACTGAAAATTGTTTGGTAAATTCAAATATTAGATTTGGTTTCCACTATTTCACATATACAGTATGACCTCACTTTTTCTTTGATTTTACTGCACAAAAATAAACAAAAGTCCGCATCACATGTGGTCAGCTGTAATATATTTTTTTAAGCCTCTCATGAGGAATTCAATTTTGCGGTTGGTTTCATATTGTGGCTTCCAATCTCTGTTGCCAAGTGAGACGGGCTTTGGCACAGCTTGGTGAGTGGCTGATTCCTTTCAGCACCGAACCGTCAAGCTGTGGAGACAGAGGGCCACTCTCAGGGGGTGGCTCCCTCCAATAATCCCCTCAGGAGGAGCTTTGGACGGCGCCACGCAGAAGTAGGCGGATGGAGATGCAGAGTGAGTGCCTGAAAGAGTTTGGTGTGGGTGGATGTTTGTGTCCTGGTTTAACAGCAGTGTGCTGTTTGGGGTTTGAATGGAAGTTTTTCATGTTTTCATTAAGGATTGGGCTCGCTCACACCAGACTTTGACAGCGCATTAAAGAAGATTAAGTTTTGCTCTTTTTTTGTTAGAATTTGATCAGATTTTTTAAACATGTAAATGTATCATTCTGTTCATAGATGTAAGAGGAAATTATTTTTATGGCTTTATATTGTGAAATGATGTGCTTTATCCAGGGTTTATTGGTTAAACAAGACACGACTTGATTTATTTTCCCTAAATAAGAATCAAGTTTAAAAATGTATTGCAATATTATATGCAGTATTGAAATGATGCAGGTTAAAATAGTTTTTTTTCTACTTGCAGATATATTTTTCTTTTTTTTTTTTCATTTTCTGTCATGACAATTTCATCCTAGTGCCTGACAAAGATGGTATAATTAAATACAAGGAAAACACTTTTCAAAATCTGTTATTAATTATATTTCAGTTTTTTGTAAGTGAATTATACTTTACTTGAATATTTTTCGAATGTGTACATTTTGTTTTTTGATTATTTTTTTTTGTGTGTCCTGTCTGACAATGTGACAGTAAGAATTGTTGTTTTAATGCCAGAAAGAGCACAGCAGACTTTACTCTTACAAGTGGAGCATTATCGCTTTCGCCATAGTGCTCTGCTTGATTTTTATATGTTAATAGTTTCATTATGATTAATGTAGGGAATAATTCATGTTATGTGCACACCACATTGAAAAAGTAAAAAAAAACGTTAAAGAAAGAGGAAACAGAATTGGGAGATTTATAAAACTCCATCAGTCTGCTTTATCACATGCAAAGAGAGAGGTACCGGTAAAAAGAAAAGCATAATGTGAACATTTCTAAACAGCACTGTTGTTTCAAAGATCCACTCCTTCACTTTCATTCTTACCAGTTATTCTCATCTTTTTAGCATGGAGTTGATTATTATTGCTTTAGATTTTGTACCTATGCACCCCAGGGGTGTCTTCTCATCCCAATGCTTTTCTACCTGTACACGAAACACTGAACCTCAGTGGACCCAATTGAAAACCCCTGAAGTAAACAGATGACATGACTGCAATGGCAAATCAATCCTCACATTTCAGAAGGAAATAGAATCTTCCATTGGAGCTGCGGATCATCTTCTACACCTCCATTATTCAATGTGTTTTGTCCAAATCCATCGCTGTGCACGTTTTTTCAGCCAGAAAACAGGACAGGTTGGAACTGCAATGCACAATTTGGTCTGCAGAGCTTCTTTAGCTCTAGGATCAGGAAAAGGCCAGCTAACATCTCTGCTGGTAGCAAACAAAACAGTCCCAGGCGTTTTAGTCTCCTACCTTCAGGTCCACGTTGCAGAGAGTTATTTGCTGAAACGAGCCATCATTAGAACTGTTTCTTTCTCCAGAGAAAAACAACGAAGCCTGAGCCTGACTGGTCAGCTAGTCTCTTCAGAAACGATAAACAAACTGCACTATAACTATGCTTTTCTCTTATCTATATACTAATACTGTATCTCCTCCTCTAAAGTTTATATATTTAACTAGTTTTGATATGATGTAAGTGATAAAAAGCAGATAGTAGAAGTATCAATTATCATTTATTCAAGTATCAATATTGCCATGTGACTCAAGCTGCTTTATATCTTCCAGGTGCAACAAGTCCTTAAAGTCGTAGAGAAACCATATTTAAGTGTCAAATTATTCTGGCTAAAACATGTATATGCGAACCTTCTGCCACAACAATCCCGCCCCCTTGATAAGCGACCGATCACATTCACTTTATTCACTCGTCACGACTCGGGATAATTCGGAAATGCAGCGGTTGAAACAACAGTCGTTTCCCTACGACTTTAAATGCACCTTGTATTTGTATATTTGGAGCATGCTGATTGCAAAAAGTTTTTAAAAGGAAAACATACCAACTATTTTGGAAGTAGACCGGTTGCCGCTGACTGAATTAAACATGAAAAGTGGTCAAATAATCAGATAAGGAAGCTTCTTGTGAAACTTTCCGCCTCCGTAAATAGCTGCTTCCTCACGTCACAGCAGCAGAGAGAAAAAACTTAAATAAAACATAAATGCTGTTTTAGGTTACTGTTCATTTTGTTTCAGAATGTGTTTCGTTGATAAAAGTGCAAATATCTCTCATTTAACGCACTATACCACCACATCATGATGCACATGTACATTTATTTTGTTTTGTTTTACCTGCTTCTTTTGTTATTCATGTCCAGCTCCTTATGTCTACATTTATCCACCTGATTGTTATGCAAATTAGCTAACTTTTTGTTTTCCTGTCATCACACAGGTCTGAGGCTTCTTGGCATTGGAAGAAACCAGTACATTGACCTCATGAACCAGTGCAGGTCCTCCAAAGTAGGATATCTTCTTTCCTTTACTGATATATTTTTTTTATTTAAGGTTATAGATGTGTCGCTTATTAGGTCTATGGTATATATAGAAAAAATGTCATAAAAAAAGGTTTCAGGGGTTGTTTTGCAGAAATTAGACCGAGATACAATAGTTTTTTTTATCATTTGAAGAAATTTTACAGGTTATGGTGTCTTTTAGGATCAAATCCAGTCTAATTTGAAGTTTTATTAAATGTATACGTTTTAAAACAAAAAAATTGCCTAATTGAGTAAATGATACTGACATCTTGATGACTCTCTGATTTACCGTAAAACAATGAGATGTTTTTTCACACACTCTTGTTTTCCATTTTTATGATCGATCTTTTCAATTTAAAGCGTCTCTCTAAGGCACTAAACTTTTTCATGAACTGTGGGAACATGATGGCATTTTACACACTGTCTTTTCTATTTTTCTATTGTATTGGGAAATGTCAGCCCAAGATCCTTACAAGATAAACTGGTTAAACTATTATTGAGCAGAATCAAAGCCTCTGTTAAAGATTAAATTAGCCTTAATTGATTCAATATATATCATCATTATGCTCACTTGATGTCACATAAAACTGGTTTTGTATGTAATGATGTTTTTTAGATCGGTGTATAAGTGATTAGTACACCAAGACAAAGGTTTTTGATGCTTGATAATCATTCATTTCTGCCATAGACGATCTTAACAGCAGATATTAATTTCCACGTAGTTGTTGTATATGTTTCCATGGGGGGAGGAGAGGGGATCGGTCATGTTTGTTTGGTCGTGTGACAGTGATTGTGATTTAGCTCAGGATTACTATTGGTTAACTGAATCAGAGAAGGAACTTCAGCACAGTTTTTGGTCTGCCATGGTGTCAAAAGAATAAGAAAATATATGATAAAGGATGTCAGGGCATCTGTTGAAATAGAAAATAACAGGTAGGTAACTTTTAAAGGATTAAGAAATAGCCATAAAACACAATAACAGCTTATTAGACTGTAGTGCATTTTAAAACTCCTGTAAATATTGCTGTAATTGTAATTTCCTGTAGATGTGATCCGCATTGCATCAGACGCCCTGAACCCTTCTCAGATTGTTGTATTTGTGTGAAATAGGATTTACCCTGTTATTTAAAATAAAAGCAAACATTGTGAATAATGTGCTCTTATTTTTAAACTGAATAATAACTATTGCTTCAGAAAGCTGTAAATATCATGTGTATTTTATTATTACTGGGTATTTTAATGCATAGTTACATGTTGAACAAAAGCTTAACAATATAGTGATAGTTTTTATCTGCATTATACGCATTATTTTCTATTACCATCAAAGACAAGTCTATGAATGCATAAATATTGACACTTGATATATTGTTCCTGGGAGAAGGAAAAGTGTGAGTCTTCTTTAGGCCAGCTGACAAGAGGTGTGCAGCAACATTTGGTGGAAGGCAGGGCTATGGTGCTTTATAGCTTAATAAAGGTCAAATTAATGAGCAAAACATTTTTTTTTTTATATTCAGTTACTATCATTGCCTTGCAGCAGTCTTTAATGTATTTTGTTAAAAAGATTGTTTCTGCGCTCAGAAATTCTTTCGGCGGAAATCAGCGCGGGATCTACTGCCATCTAAACCAGTAGAGATTTCTGTGGAGCCGTGGTGGGTGGCTCAGACGGGCTACATCACAGAGGATGACATAAGGGTGAGGCTCAACAACACCTTACATAGTTTTGTCCTCTTGCATGATTCAGTTTCTTGACCCTGGTTGTGTGTAGCTTGGGTTTATCATGGTTGGAGACAAAAAGTTGAGAATAAAGAGAAAAAACAAGCCCAAATGTTTAGTTTTTTTGTTGTTGTTTTTTTTTAAGCAGCATGTAACTAATATGCTGCTTAATTAATATCACTTTTTTTCTTCAAAGTCTTGTGTCTGAGGCCTTTGGTGCAATTTATATGATGGATCATACCTAACTTTTTAATCTTTTTTAGTTATTATAAAGGTTAGTCTACTTTAAACATTTTATGTTATTGTTTTCTGTTGCCTTTGAAAAGAAAGAAAACAAGATTTTTTTTTTTTTTTTTAAAGGTTGAATATTTTACTCTTGAGTTTTTCCTCTGATGTAAATTCACACTGAAGAATGGTTCTCTTTTTGGACATTTTATTGAAAGCACTCCTTTACATAGTTTACACTAACCCTGCTCTTACTGTTCTCCTTTTGATTAAATGCAGATCTGTTCTTCAGCGGAGAAGAAAGCCATTGACAAGATGATCGACTCTGGTCCCCAGCTGGCAGGGACAATGGAGTACAATGTGGTATTAAGTGAGTAATTGATATTGTCCTGTTTTCAGGCGTTTACTGTTAGGAGCTGTAGTCTCCCCCTTGTGGCTCCGGCAAGGTTTACACAAATATGGTTTCCTTGTCCTGATAAACATGTTCTGATTAAGAAAAGAATAATTAGCTATAAGAAAGTAATAATAAACACTGTCGTTATTTAGTGTTCTAGGACAGAGGAGGGATGAGATTTTTTAGATTTTATCTTGCAGGATAAGTCAAAAATGGAAAGCTCCTTTTACCTAAATAATGTGAAGGCACCTAATGAATTACTTTTGGTTTAACTACAAGCGGAATATTATTTTTTAACCTGGAGAATCATTGTCTTCTGATTTGTATCTTATTTATCTTATTTTGTTTCTGAACTCCATGTATAAAATGAGTATTAGACTCTACCAATACCCTGCCTATGCAGCCCTGCACCTAAAGTAGAATGTATATATTAGGACCATGAAGCAAACTCCCAGGTTGATGGACAAGAGTTCAGACTTCTTTGAAGAGCACCTTTAATTATTTCTAGAGCTGTGGAATTGCAGCAAAACACAGGATAAGATACTGTTGATGAATAATCCCATGATGTTTAACATAGATTTTCTCAGCTCCTGTTTTTTTCTTCATTTACTGCAATTTTTCCACCACACCTTGTGAACTTTCACCTCTCTGGCTCACAATTACACATGCACTGTCTACATTCCAGCAGACCTCCATCCAGCTTGCCCAATATGTGATTAGCATGCATGACATTATCCTAACTAATATTTCATACAGTTACTGTTGTATGATTTTGCTACATGTGCTATTTTTACACATGGATCTGGGAATTACAACTGCAATTTAATTTATTATGCAGCTTGAATTTCTTCATAGAACTTTGCTCCTCATCCTTTTCATTTCATCATTGGTATTGGCTCATCTTGTTAGTCTAAGACAGGGGTTGGCAACCCAAACTGTTCAAAGAGCCATATCGGACCAAAAAAAAACAAATTTGTCTGGAGCCACAAAAATGTAAAAGTCATATATAAGCCTTGTTTGACAACATGGGCTCCAAGTGTATTAGTTCACTATAAAAAAGGACTAAGTGAGCTTAAATATATAATAAGCATTCATGATTAAAAGTCACATAGGTGAGGAAGGAGCAGTGAACGCTCTCACAGCGTGGAGTTTACCACTCGCTGCTTCACTGCACAGTTTGTATGTATTAGGTTTTGTTGCGTTGATGAAATTGTAGAAACAAGATAAAGGAATCTTTCTATGGTGGACTTGTTTCTGTTGGGAGGAGATGATTGAGTCATGAGGAACCAAGTAGGAACTGACATCCATCAGAGCAGAGCTCTCAAACCCGGAAATCCCATCCTCCGTCACCGGTGTACCCTGGTGTTATTCTTATTTTGAGGATTTGGGGAAAAATGGAAGAAGGTTCACATACCCGGGTCAGAGCACTAGCTGTTCCATCTGCGGAAGGTTTTCCATGCTTGCAACAAAGCTAGCAGCAGTAGTGGAGTTTGGAGATGCAATCCACTTCTTAAATATTTGCGCTCCTCTAATTTATCTAGAAATTCTGCAATTGCGCTTTTTCTATAACTCTCAACTTGATGGTCGGCTGCAAATTTAGCATGCCTCCCCTGGAAATGCCTTTCCAAATGTCTCCTTTTTTATTTCTTGACAACTTCTCATCATCATGGATGCACTAATAGTTGGAGGGATGTAACTTGTGTGTTAAGTGTCATTATTTGTTTTGCAGGTTTATATAACCGGGGCTTTATTTACCTGGACGTTCCCATATCGGATGACAGCTGCATCTCAGGTATACCACTCTGTGTTTTAAACGTTGTCTGTCTAATCCAACTTTGAACAATTCAGCCTCAAATACTCATGAAGTGTTCACATAATAATAGGCAAGCGGAACTGATGTATAGTTGTACATTTGTATAACTACATTAAGAAAGATCATTTCCTTGATGTCAACTTTCTGTTTCAGTGCCTCCTCTCGAAGGCTTTGTCATGAACCGCGTACAGGGCGATTACTTTGAAACGCTTCTCTATAAAATCTTTGTGTCCATTGATGAGCAGACAAACGTAGCAGAGGTAGGCCTTTGACGTGTCTTTTATTTCGTTATGAAGATTGTTCATTTAGGTTTTTACTGATCAATTATTTTTCTCCTCCCGAACTATCTCCCCCTTCTGACTTTTAGCTAGCCAGTGTGCTGGAGATTGACCTGGATTTAGTGAAGGTGAGTTTAAGTCTGCATAACATTTTTCTGGCTTTAAAAAGTGACACCAAAAAAAATCTACCTACCTATCTAAGTAGGCTCCTAGTTTGCTTTCTTTTACTTGCATTACCTTATATATATATAATCTTAGAAATTCTTGAGGGATAGATGTTCAGCTTAAAGATTGTTTATGATCTGCAGGATTCCATCCTTTTAATTTTCCCCATTTTTTGTAGGTTAGTAGCTGCTTATATTTACATCATATTTCTGTTGGAGGCTTTTGTTTGCACTCAAACAATGGTTACTTTAGAACAGGGGTAACCCTTAAAATTCAGCTGGGTCCGAATAAAGAAAATCAGCTACCAGTAAAGCCCTGGAGACATTTTTAATTATAATCTGTTACTTGAAACAGAATTTAACACTGAAATAAAATGAGGCTTTTATGCATCCATATTATACATTGAATTTTTAAATGGAAAAAATATAAACCGAAAAAGATGAAAATTTTTTCCATTTAAAAATCTACAGTTTTTTTTTAAGTAGATAACAACAATCTTTCAGTTTGGTATAAAGACAATTTCCTGATTCACATATTTTATGAAACCCCTGAACTGACCTACTGACCTTTTGTTGCTGTTTTTTTTTCTTTTTGATGTCTTAATGAAAGAAGTGGGCTTTAGGCTGGCCTACAAGGCTTTAAACCTGGGTTTGAATGGAGACAAAGCCGTTCTCAAGCACATATCAAGGTGCTCATTCGTGAGCTTGGATCAATATGTATTTTCGATTATGTTCGTGGTGGAAAATCTTGCTTCACAGCAGCAGGTTGAGCCAAACTTACTCAATATGGGCAGGGTCATCTTTGAACACCATTTCACTTTTCTTTTCACCAGTTCACCGCAATTCTGCTCTCTTTTTCCTCATCGTATTCTCATTCCTTCCCATCGCCCGGCTTGCCAAACGTTTGCCTGCTGTGTTAAAAAGTGGCTCGCCGCAGTGACCCAGACTGACACAGCTTATTGGCTAAATTGTATCACGTGTAGGCTGGTCCTGGACGCTCCGGCAGGCTTTACCATATTAACAGGAGAAGCGGCGCAAGTGAAGTTAGACACTGTCGTCGGACATTCAGTAATTTATAAATGTTTTAAATCAGGTTGGGTCCCAATTAGCCAACAGGTGGGTCTGGACTGTTGGCTCATCAATAACCAAGGGTGTCCACTCTTGTTAACAAAAACGTAGCAGTGCATCTAGTGCTCTTTTTTTGTTTTTTTAAATTGCTTCCTAACTTAAAGCACTCCACTCTTACTAATATGTTAATCTACCCAGCTTTCTTTTAAAAAGCAAATTCTTTGTAAATTTTGTGAATCAGACTTAATACTCTTAACAGATCAAGTTAAAAATATACACTGAAGATCCACTCATAACATTTATTTTATAATCATTTACTCAAGTTAATGCACAAATTGTATTCGTGGTGCTGAACCTGAATTTTTGTGACTTATAGGGTGAAGAATGGATTGATATATGCAGCATAACTGATATAGATTAGTTAATCTAATTTAAAGTGCTTTAAAGGAAAATTAAAGAACCAAATAATGACAACTAATTTAGAACAATCCGCTGCAGCCAAAGTCTCTGATGATCTGATCGTAGTTCAAACATAATAAGAATATTTTTGAAGTGCAGGTTAATAACTAATTTATTGTCCCATGGACTGATGCAAGATATTTAAATTCAATAATTTCAATAGGAAGAAGCTTGTGCTGTATAGCTGTGATGACATGATTTGTTTTTCTGGTCTTGCTCAAAAATCTAGTAGAAGTATTTTGGATGAGCCGTACCTACAAGACTTTTTTTTTGACAATATCTAACCTTGTAAAAAATGAGACTAGGTATTAGTTTTCTCTTTTACCTTTTAGTCTCACAATTTTATAAGATAGTAACTGTTGTTTAGTAATGGACTAGTATAGCAGACTACCAGTTTATTCCACCAATTTATCTCAATCTCTTAAACCTTATGTTATAATCAACAACACTGACCTTAAGTAATACTTACACAAATATTTTAGTATGTATTGTACATTTCTCACTTAAAATCACAACTTTGATTCTTTCAAACACTAATTAAAAGTGCAGGAACGTTTTCTGCAAGTCTAACTTTGGTTACGAATTCTAGCATTAACTAAGAAGTATAAAGAAACAAAGCGGTAAAAGGGGTTAAGTCCAGGTACCTAAATGGCTTTAAACCACAGAGTAAGTGGAATGCTAATGGTTCATAATTGACCTTAGTTTAGTTGAACATTGTCCAGAGAGTTTTGTTTTCCTGACCTTAAAGATTATAAATCCTACTCACCTTGCAAGGTCATGGTGGTCATGTTGCTTTTTTCTCTATGTAGCTCAGTACTTCTATAAAGATGTGACCTCTATAGACCTTTAAATGCCACACTATCTTTACAATTCATACAATCAACATTCCAGAAGGAATTTGTGATCACACTGCCACTTTGACCTCAGATTATATGTTTTGTTTAATGTGAGAAAACCAGTTTTTACTCTTTAAAGGCTTGTCATGCTTCAGTTTAGTGTGTATGGTAATCTGACATTAGACCTGACATCTGATTAGCATCATATAGTATTGAATTTTCCTATGCGTTATAAAATTGAATAGTAAAAAACTGAGATTCATCCTTTGTTTTATATTTTAAAGGAGCAATAAACCCCCCCAAAAAATCACTATTTTAGCTAGAAAGAACTGAGAAAAAAAGAAGTAAAGGTGTCTTTTTTGAAGGAATATCATATGACGACACATCCACGTGTTGTTCACTAATAGCTCTTTTATTTTGATGAGCCTCTCCCTGCCCATATCGTGCCACCTTCAGAGATGGGTAGTGTAGGAGAAAAATGGCAAAGAGTGGATCCAGTGGAATGAAACGTTCACCTAGAAGTCTAGCTTTTGCCAAAATAAATATCTTTGGCTAATGACATATTAAAGTTTTCAGTTACCCACTTCTTCAATAGACACGTTCCTCTAAAAGGTTTGCAGCTGGAGGGGAGGTAAAGAGAGGCTTTGCTTGTCACACGTTCTGTTTTCGTCTACAGAAAGTGCTCAACAGTCCACCTAGTGGTAAAATGTACGCTTTTAATTCCTTTAAAGGTACATAAGCCCCATTTACACAACCCTTGAAAAACCGATCCATGCCGAGACCGGTCCGAGCTCGGATCAGTTAACCAGGCCGAGCTCGGTTCTGACGACCGTTTACACATCACGCTATCTCGGTTCCTTGACTCCTCGCCTCCTAGTGACGATCTGCGGTATCACTGTCAGTATTAAAGGAGGAAAGCAAGCAGTTGGTGGCGGTAATGCACCAAAAGTTGTTTGCGCATTTTTAAAGTAAATATAGCCTTTCTTTATATATTTATCATTATAACATCATGTGGCAGGGATTATGTCACTTTCCATGTGTACAATTGGTTAACTAGCCAAAGTAATGGAGACAGTTGGTATTTAAGCCCCAGCTTGGTTGCAAAAAAGGAAAAAACAAACAAAGCTGAAGTGTAAAAAGAGGTTTAAGAAGATGTTTGATTCTAAGAGGGATAAAATTTGAGTTACACTGGGGAAACAGTATGACTATTAGAGCGCACTAAAGCTGGAGCTAAAGCTAAAGTTGCTCTCTGATGTTGCTACCAAGCTGTTTCAGGTGTGTAGATATGGATGCCTGAATATACCGTTTAAAGTAGTATGAGTATTTTTTCACAAAACTAATTTCAAACCACAGTGTATAATAAAGTATTAGCAATACATCGCAACAACAGAAATATACCCGGCTTTGCAGTGCCATCTCTTTCATCTAGGCAGGTCATGAGGTGTGCGAGACTGAGATGTTGGAAAATGAACCCCTTTGATCCCCGGATTATGGGGTGTAATTTTTTTTGTATGCTGGGATTGCTTTCTGTCGACAAGCTGAGGGGTCCACCACTGCAATCTATCAGTTTGGTGTCTAGAGATCTTGAAGGTCAAATTAGCAACTAAAGTTCTCTGTAAACTGATGTTTTTATTTTTATATTTTTTCCCCATTCCCTTGAAGTTTTTGGATTTATACACAATTCTGCTCTACTGAAGAAAAGACTGGTCCTACAGTGGAGTGTTATTGCTGTGTGTGTTCTGAGGGGATCTTTAGTAGCAAAGTACCCTACTCATGATTTCATGAAGCAGTATTTCCAAGAAAATGCTTCATACAAAGCATTCAGAGAGGAAGAAGCCATTACTTCAATCAGCAAAACAAGCAAGACTGCAGTTTGTAAATGCACTCAGGGACAAAGAATTTAATGTTAGAGCTCGGCTCTCTGGTAAACCCAGAACTGAAGTGTATTTTACATTCGAGTTGAGTAGGGAGATGCTTACAAGTCTGAGTGCCCCTTTCTTTACTTCGAAATAGGGCTAGAAGTTATGGAGGTGTTTGTGAGCAGGGTGGCCAACAAAGCTGGCCGGTTACATATGTTCAGCCATGGAGACGCAGAAAACATATGGACACTTGTTGCAACCATCTCCAAGCTCAAAAGCTTCTGAAAAGCTTCCAAAGGTTGCAGTGCTGGATATTGAATTCTTAGGCACATCAAGTCTGTCCTGCTAGAGGTAGCAAAAAAGGAAAAATCGTCCCCCCTGTTTTTCCCCAGAAAATTTTGCTCAGAATTTTCAAAGCACCAGATGCTGGAGTTGGAAGAACTTACATTTTTCTGCTTGACAATCAATCAAAGAAGCAAATCTGAGGCTGGCAGGGAGACGGACACCGCGCAGCTAATGCAGATCGCTATGATCACTCCGCTGATACANTTTGTCCCGATCCGATCCACGTATCGGATCGGGACAAAATGTAAGTACTAAAATGTTTATGCAGCAATCATGGCATATATTTATTTAATTAAATGTTTCTTTGGCAATTTCATTGGTGCCACTATTCTAAAATACTAACACTAGACCTGTCACAATAACATGTTCTGCTGAATGATGCATTGTTCCAAAAATGATTAAGATAAATGACAAAATGCTTTCATTTGGTTTAAATCCAAAATGTTCCCATACTGCAGCTGCCGTCTGTCGCTTTGTAAGAATTTCCATCTTTTTTTTCTTCCAAATGTCAGTACTCTGGCTTGCTTCTCCTCCGTCACAAGGCTCTCATGCTACACTCACTATGCTATGCAAATGAAAAGGGGAGGGCTGAGTGAAAAATAATGCATAAGAATGAAACGTTTTGTCGTCAAGACTTTTCAGTTGGGAAAAAAAGGAGACTGAAAGAAAATATGCATGAAAATGTGACTTAAGATAATTTAATTTTATCATGCTATTAATATGTTTTGTCTTTATTGTGATTGGCCTAACAACATTTGTTGTACATTTACTAGACATTAGGCATGAAGTATCAGTTTTAGAACAGTACTGAATTATCTACATCAGCCTGTATGTCACTCAGTTTCAGATTGGAAAGAAAATTGTTGAAATCAAACATTACTGAAAATTGGTTCTCATTTCTACTTTGAAACATGCCTCAAAAGGACCTTTGAAGGAGTTTTGATGTGGGGAAAAAATCGTGAATGCTTACAAAATCTTACCTCGCAACAACTATGACTTGATGTATCTGGGACTGGCTGCAGTAGAATAAATAAAAAGTCTGATGTAAAATATTTGGATAAAAAATAAAAATTTCTTCAAGATCCGCTTCCAAATGAGTTCAATTAATACATTTTAAATAATGCCTTGGTAATTAGTATTAAGACGAGTTTTATAATCACATTCCTTGATCCTTAAAATATATCCTTATTTATAAGTACTGGTCTTTGAAGAGAGAGCCAGGTAAACAGAAAACCGCAAACTTCACATAACATTTATTGGTACATCCCTTCTTTGTGACATGCCTTTCTTAGTTTATCCTTAACTGATTCCACTGCCTGAAAAAAACACACACACACACTCCTTGGAAGCACATTTTAATGTGTGCTTCTTTATCGTTTCATCAGAATGCGGTTTCCATGTACTGTCGCCTTGGCTTTGCAGTGAAGAAAGGTCCGGTGTTTAGCTCTGAGCAGCTTCACCCCAGCTGGAAGAACGCCCCATCTGTTAACAGACTGAAGTATGTGCTTCCTCTACTTTCTGATCACAGCTCATTCACTACCCACCTGATCTGACAATGCATCACTGCGACTCTTATCAAACCCTTAATTAGCAATTCAAAGTGCTACATTCCTGTTCTGCTGTAGGAGCACCATGGATCCCCAGAAGATGCTGCTGTCATGGGAACAGGGCAGTCCCGTCATGGAAGGCGGCTCCTCAGCCACAGATACAGACACAACAAGCCTGGAAGATCAAGGTCCACATCAGGGTTATTATAGCTAACCAAAACTAACTTTCAAACTGAAATCGAGAAATCATTAAATAAAACAATTTAACTAAGTGGGGAAAAAACGCTAAATAATTGAAACAGTATTAACTAAAACATACTGAAATTAACACACCCTTAGTGTTTGTGTTTGTTGTATTGTTTTTTTTCCAATTTTGTGTTGAGGTTTTATTACTTTGATGCACAATTTCATAAATGTAATACTTTTGGCTTTTTTTTTTAAATCATGCACCTAAAGATTACCTGAAGTATAAAAAAAAAATAAAACTACTACAAGAACTGATGAAAACTAAGGTAGAAAAATACAAGATAAAAACTCCAGAGCTAATATATAACCTTGATCCACATTTTGTGCAAGCCCACGCATGTTCTGCATCACATACAAGTAATTAAACTTGCTGAGATATGGACATGGGGCACATTATAATTGCCATTTCTAAGCAGCACGTTTAACTCAGCAGAGCTATTAAGTGATTTTGACACTAATAGGTGTTTGTCTAAAGTGGTCACATTTTGGCCTAATTTTTATTTGTTTAGCATATTAACCTGGTAGAGATGCTCGCAAATAGGATGCTGTCAAAAGGTCTGTTGATCAACAGCATTGATATGCAAATAAGTAAAATTAATGACAGAGGTAGGGATGCTCTAAATAAGTAATTTTTTATGCTAACATCTGCAATTAGTCTGGGTAAAAGCGAGTAAAAGGTGGTAATGATATTGCTCAGCAGTGTTATGATTCCTTCTGCTGCATAAATGATGTTTCTGTCTCAGCAGGAGACACAGGCAGCGTTAGCAGCCTGAGCATCCCAGCAGCTCCCACTAAGAGGATCGCCTTCCTGTTTGACTCCACGCTCACCGCCTTCCTCATGATGGGCAACCTGTCTCCGGTCTGTGCAGACATAAAACACAACACATTATTAGTTGTTTTTGGTATGAAATAAATTATGTTTAAACAGAATTGTTGTGCCTTTGTCACATCAGAACCTGAAGAGCCACGCAGTGACCATGTTTGAGGTCGGGAAGCTGTCCGATGAGACCCTAGATAGCTTCCTGGCTGAGTTAGAGAAGGTGAGTTTAACGTCTTGTTTTAATAGTTCTGTAAACCTTAAATTTGTATTGAGAGTTTCCTAAATAATGCAGTTTCTTTTCAGAAACAATGAGCTGTTTTTAAGAACTGTCCCTTGTTTCTCAGGTGGAGAGTACTGCAGAGGGTGAAGCTCAGCGTTACTTCGACCATGCTCTGACCCTTAAAAACACCATCCTGTTCCTGCGCTACAACAAGGAGCTCACTCAGGATCAAGGACCTGATATTCCAAATATAGGTATTCACATTGTCATGTTTTTTTTAATCTCATCTCTTGTTGGATCTTTAAAGATCATGACAGGGAAAATATTCCTACCTATTCATCTTTGTATTCTTTCCACCAAAAACATCAGAACTTTAAGAGGTCCATGCTAACGCAGAAATGGTGTGATCTGAATAATTTCATTATTTTCACTGTATTTTCTGTGTTATTTTTCTGTTGGAAATCCAGTCTTTTGCAGCTTCTAACAACCTTTGTTCTAGGATTATCATTTAACTTTGCTTCCATTTGACCAGATCTTCTTCTTCCATATGTTGCTGTGGCTCCATGTCTTGTGGTAAACTGCAAACAGGAGTTCTTACGTCTTTATATCAACAAAAGCGTTCTTCTTGCATCTTTTGCAGAAGGTTCTGATTTTTGGAGTCCACAATTAATAGCTGTAGTCTTGATGGATGCATCAAGTTGTCGATTCCTCAACTTTCCTCTTGAGTTATCTCAAGTATTTTTTTTTTTTTTTTGCGTAGTTGTTCAGATTCCAAATATATGCGAATTTAATGTTATCCTCTGACTAAACAGCATTCATACAACTTAAGGGTTCCGAATGTGCAGTAGAGGAGGTAACTACGTCACAAGTAGCGAGTGTTTGAATGCTAGAGCACATCTTGTGATCTTTAGTTTCTTTTCTGACTGGAGCTGACTGGAGCTGCCATGGTTGTTAATTTTCTACCTGCTTTAGCTTAGCAGGACGCAGAACAGTGATTTTTGTCGTTTATTAACGGACGTACAGGTCGACCTGGATGTATAGACACAGAACACAGTTGAAAAGATCAGATATTTATCGGATTTAGGACCACTTAGCCAAGTGGCCTAGATCACATTTGGATCGCATCAGGATCAACGCTTCAGGCTGCATTGTGAACAGAGCGCTTGAGGTTTCCACCTACCAGCTGTGTTTATACTGAAAGAAATTGCACATCAGCTTACTGTTATTGGTTGTATTTAGTATTTTTTAGTGTAGTACTACAGTAGAGGGCGCTGAACCTATATGCACATATTTCTTAGATTTTTTTCTTTTCTTTCTTATTTTCATTGAATTTACCAACAATGCGTTACTTTGTCTTAGCCTTTCATTTAAAACAATTGTAGAGGACATTGCCATTTGTGATTGTAAAATTTCCAAATTTAAAAGAGCTTCAGATTCCAGCCAATTAAACAAACCCATGTTTGGAGCAGTTCTTCTTCATGTGCTGGTTTGGATTAGAAAATGGGATTTCCATCCTTATCTGAAAGGCAAATACAGTAAACAGAACCTAGTATTTACTTGTAGGTATTTTTCTGCCAGAGGGTGACATCATTTGTCATAAATTCCCTGCAAAATTTTGCAATGATTATTTTAAAAAAGATGCATCCATATTGGAACAGTGAAACTAAATGAGAAATTATTAACAGGGAGGCTTGCAATCTAGAGGGAATTTATACAAGGCCGTTCATAGAAATTTAATCCTCCTGAATTTTGCAGTATTCATATAAACATTTGCCTAGAAGTAGACCAAAAAATCTGTACTCTAATAATGTTCATTTTGTAGTTTAACACAATTAAATATATTTTTTGCAGGTACTAAATTAAAAATGTTAATATTCAATTTAAGTACATGATTAAGGAGCTTAACCTCCTGAATGTGTTTAAGATTTAGATGTCAGGTTAAAATTATCATCATGATTTATAAATGCATCAAATATGGATCCTTTCCTGTAATATTTTGCAGATGCTTTAAATTGTTCCTTTTTATTGTTTAATACTATTTATAATCTCATTCTTCTAGTTTAGTTTTAATCTTTTTGTGATTATGTGTGTTTTTTCAGTTAATTTACACAGAATAAAAAGTGCAATATGTTGTTAAAAAATAAATTCAAACTAACGATTTTAAGATTTTAATAAATTTATTTCATTGTCTCTATCACTATGAACATGAGCTGTCATTATAGCAGCTGCTGTTAACAACGATTGGTAAATGACTTGTTTGGTCTCTAATGTTCTGAGGTTTTAAAATCGATAAGTAATTAAAAGCTTGGAGCTCATCTACTAGCCACAAAGAGAAAGTGGATCCTGTTTCTGTTCAGCTATTTGCAGACAATATCTCCGATTCGCCTTCAATGATTTAACTCTCCAGAGTAAAATATGCAGATTTTAAATGACTCTGTTCAGAATAGCCTTGGTTTTCTACTGTCCTTAAGTGAAGCAGTGCAGAATCTTTCCTTCCACAGGAACAAAGCCAACCTGTGGGTTCTGTGTGGCTCCCATTGTGCTACCAGATGTGTTTTGTCTGATTTGGCTTGAATCCTCGCTTCTGTCTAACCTCACTGTTTTTTTTAAGCAGGCAAAACTGCTGATTGAAGTGTTATGTTAAATGTTCAGTTATGAATTGAATGAAGTTATTCTGAGTAATTAAGGAGTTGGAACTTGGAGAAGACGTGTTTTCTTCAACAAGCCATGAGGATATTTAAGAGAAGAGTGGGTCCATAATACCAGCTTCTTAGTTCTTCTTATACAATATCACAGCTATTTAGGGGATTATTTGAAAATATTCTTTTCTTTTTTATCCTTTCTGACTTAGGATTTTTAGTTGCTGTATTAATATTAATATAAGACTATTTTAATTGTCTTATTTATTGATTCAAAAACCTTTGTAGCTATTTCTTACTGTGGGAGTTGCTGGCTTTGAAATACTGTTTAAATCTATTTCAAACTAACAAAACTGTTTAAGATATCCTCCAGATTTAAGTAAGCATGAAAACTGTTCATTTTCTAACACTCACCTCTGATTATTTTTAAAAGAAAAATTGTTAAAAGGTTGCCTCATCATTGTTTAACAAAAGGGGTACTTTTAAAACCCCAGGATGGTTTTTACAGGCTCTTTTGGGGATTAACAGTCTTGCAACACATTAAGCAACCAAACCTGATGTAAAAGGATAACCCTGCTCCCAGAAAAACTTTGAAAAAGGCCTAGAAAGTGGGCAGTACCAAGAGGCACACCTAGGGTGGGATTGATTGGAGGGGGTTCAACAGGAGGGAGTGGTCAGGAAAAAGGAAAGCGATATGTCTAAATATCTAAAACAAACACTTTGCTTTATTACACTTTATATATCATAAAACACTCATCTGAATATCTTTTTCTTTACTTGCAGTTGAATATATGAATAAAATTGTTTTTGCAGGGCCTCCCATTTGTACTCCACACTAAGTTTACCACCTAGAGCAGTTTTAAACGGACAACAGAGAATACAAACACCCCACATCCAAGGTGTATCAAAGACGCTATCTAACCCCAGCACAGGGCTGGGACATAGACGCGTAGTAAGCTGTGCTGGTTTTGGCGAATGGTAAAATTCAATGGCAGTAGCCACTTTTCAACACATATAGAGGACAACAAGATGTTTTTAGTCCAAATATTGCAGAAGCTTTAGCTAAAAACGTCAAAACGACAAAGCAACATAAGAATAGAAGCCTTTGCGCCCCAGACATGGAAAATGTTGATCAGTTTCTCTTTAAGGTGAAATTAACATTTAGGCGTATTTTATTTGCTCTGAACGCAGCATTTCCTGAATAAGTTTCTCACCAAATAGTTTATTTCTGCCTTTTGATTTGTGAAGTTAATTTTTTTAAAGTTTAGTTTTTCTGGTTAGTTCAGAGCTTTGATAATATACGATTAGTCAGAATTATAAAGCTTTAAAATCTTATTATAACTACATCAAATATCTCAGACTTTATAGGGAGGCCCAGGTGGTACTCCTTACTCCTCCCTAATACTATAATTAGCTGAAACAGCCTTTATTTACAACCTTTTAATAAAGTATTAATTGAAAACAATATGTATATTTTAAGTTTTTATTTTGCCTATTCCGCCCTGATTTAGTTTTAATGACATTTAAAGTGCATCAGGGCACTAACCGTTGTGCTTGATTTCAGTCCCACTTTCCACAGGAGTGCTGACTTTTTTTCCTCCCTTGTCTTCAGGTTTCCCTTTGGACATGCTGCGCTGCGAGAGTCTGCTGGGTCTGGACCAAGCCACCTGCAGCCGCGTCCTAAACAAAAACTACAAGCTCCTGGTCTCAATGGCGCCGCTCAGCAACGAGATCAGACCCATCAGCAGCTGCACACCTCAGGTATGAAGCCTGGAGGAGGAGGAGGGAACAGACGGGGTATTGTGCTGTTTCTCCTTTTGTTTGCATGATAGATGACGGATAATGTGTTGTGAGGGCTCTGGTTGTCTTTGCCATCTTGCCTGATGTACACATTTGAGTTTCCAGAGTGAGTTATGTATGTGCGTGTGTGTTTATATACACTTTGTGAATTCTCAGCCAGCAGTTGCCTCAACAACGAGGCTTCACAAAGAGAGGAGGAAGGGGGGAGGCGATGCTCAGGAGTAATTCCTTTGCCTGGCTGTCATCCAGCTTTGTAGCTGAGCCCAGTGAGACAGAAGGAGACAAGTTAAACTCTTATTGTGCCATTCATGCTGTTTCTTACTCTCATACTGTTGCGACTCGCTGAAGTGGAATTTGCTAACAAAAGCTGAACATGTCTGTTTTCTGGTTTACTCTTCTTTTTGCTCTTGATCTGTTTATCTGCATGTGTATGTGTTTGTCCCTGCAGCACATTGGCCCAGCCATCCCTGAGGTGAGCTCCATCTGGTTCAAACTGTATCTGTACCATGTGACCGGCCAAGGCCCGCCATCGCTGCTCCTCTCCAAGGGCTCCAGGCTCAGAAAGCTGCCGGACATTTTCCAGGTGGGCTCATGTTAATGATTGTTCGGATAGGGAGTTTTAAATGCCAGCAAGAAGTAAAAAAAAAAAAAGGCAGATAAGAGAAGTTAAACAACAACAGCTTTTAGAAGCTTTGGGCAGGTATATGCTTAATTAAAGTTTTTACTTAGCTTTCCGTCTGGTAATTAGCTCGGTCGCTGCCATCTCTGTTCTCCTATACACAGAGGGAGTCTTTTAATTTAAGTTAATATAACTTTGAATGCATTGATATTCAATGCATTCAGTTTTGTATTAGTATGGAAAAGCTGCCACTCTAAATGTTCAGTTGTGGGATGATCTGTTGTTTTTTCCTTTTTCTCTCTCTAGAGCTACGACAGGTTGTTGATCACCTCTTGGGGACATGACCCCGGCGTCGTCCCTACTTCCAATGTTTTGACAATGCTGAATGACGCTCTCACACACTCTGCTGTACTAATCCAGGTAAGCATGAAACAGCTTTATTAGAAAGTCTATATTCCTGTTCCTAATATAAAAATATTTTCAATGTTTTCATCCTTTATACTACTCATTTGACGACAATGTTAATGTTGCTAATAGAATACTGCTTAGAATTTGATATAAAACATGATTTCATGGTTCAAAATATTCACTACTAGAACATTTACAACATTTAATCTCCTTCATGTAATTCAGTTTATTTGCAAGACCGTTCTAAAAAGTTTCTCCTTGTCAATCAAACTGTGAAGTGCTTTTCTCACCATGTCATGGTGAGTTTGTTAAAACCTGTTGACCTCTGTGTTTCTCATTCAGGGTCATGGTATGCATGGCCATGGAGAAACCGTTCACATCCCGTTTCCTTTTGATGAGGAGGATCTAAAAGGAGGTAAGTGGAACTTTCTGCATGGAGCTGCGAGGTCTTTTAGAAACATGTTTTTAACAATAACTTGGTTTGAAGCCTTCCTTGCTGCAAAATACAGCTGAAGAGAGGATGTCTTTTAAAAATGTTAGCTTTTTATATCATTTAAATGATGGTGATGTTTAGTGATAGTAGTCCTCTGAAGAAATAACTCAAAATAGCCTCTGAGATCAAAAGTGTTGCAGACAATACCCAGCAAGTCATATAATCATGTATCTTTTACCATGCTGTAAGGTCGTATGTTTATAAATGGTTTATATTTTGAAATATTTTGATGCCAATCTGTTTTTCTGGTTAATATTGGGTTTGAGCTGTAGCAGCTGCTCTCTGAAGCCTTTGCTCTACTGCAATGATCAGCTCCTCCTTATCTTGATCAAATGCACAGGAAACCTCAATTAGCTTCAGCACAGTTCTGGTTTCTTTAAATTTTTTTTCTTTAAATGTTTTGTAGATATGTTTTACAGTTTAAAAAAGAGCAGGCAACTATTCACATTAAGTAACAGAGGGATGGAGCCTTACCTTTTCTACCTGGCAGAGAAGATCCTTTTCTTCCTTTTTAATTAAAGAGCAGCATTTATAGCACCTCAGTCTATTGAGACACCTGGTGTTAACATTGGTATTTGTTCTACTAGGATAGACCCTCTATACTCATAGGGCCTGATCATCAGATGATTTAGGGAAGAAATTGACAAACAAGCCTCTTAGCAAGGCTCATACCTCGTCACACCCAGACTTGTGATGATGCAGTATGCCCAATAGCTGGATTTATTTATAGTTTGTGAATCAACAAAACAAGTGCTCAGTAAAGAGTTTCATGTTTTGCCCAACTCAAAGAAATCTGTATTTGCTGCGCTCCGTGGAATAGAAATGAGCACAACTCCAAAATGTGCATAATCTGGAAGAGGGATGAAAGCTGGGAGTTGATCAGAATGTAATTTGAGCTTCTGAACTAAAAAATACATTTGATGCATCATGAACTGCGTGGTTGAAACTGAAGTTCGAGGTGCAGAAACCTGACATGTTTTTGTACAACACAGGATGTTTTTAATCCTCTGTGAAGGTGGCCTATTTGTATTAATTATTGTCTAATTCCAGCTTTTGTTGTCATTATTTCCTTGAAATTAATGACGGCAGATTATTTCCACCTGGTGCTAAAAACTGAGTATCAGAACACTTCATCCCTAATTGTCGTCTGACGTCTGCTTCCTATACAGAGTTCTCCTACTCAAACATGTGTGTGCATAAAGCGCTTCGGAAGCTGAAGGGGCATGTGGATCTGGAGCATCAGTGTGGCTACATAACCATGCTGAACTCTAACAACAGGCACCGTCGCAGGACCAGCGACAGCGCTGAGTGTAGAGGTACGGGAAACAAGCACACATACAAAGTCCTGCAAATGTGCCCGTTAAAGGACAAGACTTATTGTTAAATTAGCTGCAATGCTCTCGCTTGTTCAAACAGATGGCACTAATTGTGTAATTTAGAGAAGTATTGCTCACAGTCCAGTTTAATTATGCTGTTTGTCTGCTTAATTGTGTGCTTTTTTTTGCTTTAACCTTTGCTAATGGATGAGAAAAAAAGCATTATTAGCCTTTTAATATGGGAATCGAATCTTCCCCCTGATTTAAATTACAAATTATGTGTAAACCTTGAGTGTTTTCTCACAAAAACTGATGTGCTGATCTTTATTTGTGTTAAAGGAGAAACCCATCTAGGTGGAGGCCTGGATACCAACGGCAGCACAGAGTCATTTGAGCTTGTGACAGAAGAGAACGGCGATGGCAAAGGAAAGACAGAAGGTAGGTGATTCATTCTGTTTCAAATGTATTTGCAAGTATGTGTTCAGGGTTTTTTTTTTGTAGGTTGTTTTGAGTTCTAGGACGAGTGAAAGGGGTCGGACAGATGGGGCTGAAGTGTGACAAGTGGTGCCGTCTGAATTCAAAAGCAGGACTTTCTTTTCGGTGTCTCATGTTGTTTCTCCCTTGCCAATCTCTTTCTCTCAGCTCTTTCATCTGAAGATGAGTGGGTCCCTCTTGAACTGTGCTTTGGCATGCCCCTCTTCAGCTCAGAGCTCAACCGCAGGGTCTGTCGAAAGATTGCCTCACACAAACTCTGCAGCAACGAGAGGTAAAAGTTAAAATCTCTTTGCTTTCCTGTAAAATGTTGAAAAGAGTTGTGCTGCTAGACTTTAGTTTTGTTTCTCTTTCAGCCTTCAGGAGCTGCTTCACTCGAGCCGAAAGCTATCACTCAAAGTGCTGAGCTTTGTTCATTCGTTCCAGGTAAGAGGTTTTAGTTGCTTTTTCTTTAGCTGGAACCAAGATGAAAAATAAACTGTCCAGCAGAGTCTGATAGAGGCTGATATTTGGATCCAATGGAATCAGGTTTATCCGTTTTTTCCCCTGTAAAATCTGGATTAAACCAGCTTTAACCCAGCTTCTGCTTCAGGGAACACCAACGTTCTTATTGTATTCTGAACATTACTTGTGACGTATCTCTTTTGCAATAAACATTTTTTTGCCCTTTCTCACCCTTGATCTTTTACTTTTCGTTTTTCCACTCCTCTGTTTGGAGTTGCTTGGAGCCATTACTTCCTTATATAGTCAAAGCAATCATGCGCAATATCAACTCAAATGGTCATCTCAAAATTCTTACACAAATTGCTTATATTCACTAATAGATGCAACAAAAAACATTGTAAAACAAAAAATAAAATAAAAAAACTCAATAGGACCCCATTATTTAATTGGAAAGTATTTGTGTGCAACTAGAGTGAGCTACTGGTGTAGAAATTGGTACAGTCATAGTGCTGGACCCCTTTAACCCTTTATTGTGCAAGTTACCGATTTTGATCACTTGCATACCCCTTACAAATGGAGTCCCCCCACCGTCCCTCAGTGAGTTCTAGAAGCAAAAGATCTAGATCAGGTATTCAGCAAAGATACTGCTACATGGCTGTACATCTAATTTTTGCATTGGACCAATTAGATGAGCCCTTGAATGATATATTACCTGCTTTAAATTAAGTTAAAAAATGAAAAACTAAGCCAAGAAAAAAAAAAAGGTAAAAAGCTATGGAAAAGTTGAAAAGTAAAGTAAAAAATTTAATAAGCCTAGTTAACAATAATATTTAGGTTTATAAACTAAAAAATGTAAGTGCCAAAATAAGCATTAATGTCTCTAAGGTTATGTTGGACCAAAAAATGTGTTTCTTTTACTCAGAGTGTTTTTCATGAATTTCATATTTCAATTTTATAGAAGCAGTTTTGTTATTTTTCTTAATATATTCTGGCAAGTTGGCGTTTCTTGTTATTACATTGACATTCATTTTTGCAATCAAAATATCCTATTTTTGAATGTTAGCAAGCTAATAAGGTCTTATTTCAATAACTTGATTGGCTTGAAATTTGGATTTTCAAAGTATTTCAGAGTGCCCTGTATAGGGTTAACTGAATAAAATCTTTTGATAAAATTTTAAGCATGCACAGAAAGTTTAATCACTTTAAATGTTATAATTTATTCTTGAGAGATACAGCAAATTGTGGATTCTTGACATCATGGTGAGGAAGACCCTGCCTCTTTCTGTTGTCCTGATATCTAAACCTTGCCTTCTGTTAACAGGATGGCGGGCAGCCTTCCGACCCAGACAGTGGCGTGTCGAACCCTCTCAGTCAGCCTCCGGCTGAGTCTGGCGTTCCCCTGCCGTCACTTAACCTCCTCTTCAAGGATGGACAGCTGAAGGAGTGGAGCGGCCGGGCCCCTCCCCCTCTGGACATCTCATCGCTGCAGAAAGACCAGCCCTCGTAAAACAGGCGCAGTTTGTCCATAAGTACATATCTTCTCAGAGAAAATGGACCACCCCCTCTTTCTTTTTTTTTTCTTTTTTATTTGCAACATCAGATTTCAGTGAAGACATTTATTACTAGTGGTCCAACCCTGTATCTTCATACCCGCTCACAAGTCAATGCTCTTAACATCCTTTGTTCATCGATAAGAGTGATGTGAAAGTTTACCCCATCATTTCTTTACTGTTTATCCACTGTTAGAGGATGGATCCTTTATAAACACTAGTACCCAGCTCTTTTTTTTGTTGTTGTTTCCCTTTGTGATTCCTTGTATTCCCAAGAAGGCAGTGTTATCCATTGGAGTGGTGCTATAATCCCAACATATAAAAGCGATGCAGGTAAACCCATTGTGTTCCGGTGACACCCATCCTTCATTTAGTGCCGGTTTGTTTCTTAAAAGTAAAGTGAAAAATTACCCCAAGAAACCCAGATTCATTCAGCAACCATTTTATCAATATGCAGGACCAAGACTTTGGATTTACCAGCTGAGTTGGAATCCAAGCCTCCTCTTTGTGTTGTCACATGCTCAGTGGTTTAATGCATGATACTGTTGCACAGCGTAGGAAAAAGAAATTCCTTCCCTCTTTATTTCTGATCAATGATGGGGGGGTAACGTTAATTGCACTCTGCAAGATTTGTTCAAACCGGTGGATGAATAGATGTCTTTTTATTTTTGAATGTAGGATTAGGTGTAGTGCACATTAATCGTTTTTATAGCTCTTGTTTACGAGAAGGAAGTGTTTACTCAAGAAAAAGCAAACATGTTAAGAACTGACTGGGCATTTGAGGAACTTGTTTTTTTTATTTGTTGTTTCTTTTTTTAATAATTGAGAGCACCAAAGACCTTTTTTTCCTTCTTTTTTTCATTAATTGTTGCCTTTATTGTAATCAGCCAATCAAAAGAACTCAGGCCTGGGATCAAAACTGCTCATTTGCTTTACTTTTCAATCTTTTTTAAGTTTTGCAGAGTTTATGTGCATTTCTTTAAAATCATACATCTAATACAATTATCAGGATAGGATAAGAAACATCCTATCATTCCTGTTTGACCTGGATAATCTTTATGCCACACTTAATTGGTGACATTTTAAAATCAACTAGAATGTTTACTTGAAGTTTGTTTATTTTATTGGATCAATTTAAATAGTGTTAAATCTGCATTCATTCCACACATAACATCTTTCAATTGCTAAATTCTGTTCATTTTATAACTACTCCTAAAAAAAACATACATATTATAGCCTATGTAGTCATGGAGACCATTGACGTTATCCACAAACCATGGTTGTTTGGAGTTCTGTATCTAAACATATAAATGGAAAGTTAAGGAAAAGGAAAAACTGTTGTTACAAAAAGGTCCCCTAGCAAGAGAGCTTATTACAGTTTTGAGATTTTGGGATTAAGGATCATTTCATGTTGAAAACTATTTTAAGAAGATGGTTTGAATTTTCCATCAGGACACTCTGCACCTGACCTGAATCCAATGGCCTACTAAGAAGAAAATGAGACCCAACAGTAAAGATCTGACAGTATGACGAATGCAAGTTCAACCTAAAACTTGGTTGGAACTTATAAGCCATGAATTACGGTAGCAATGTGGCATGGAATGGAGTTCAATCAGTTTGCTTTCATTTCAACCTCACTGTTTAGTTTGGTCTCCTGGAAAACAAAGTCCGCCTTTTTATTTAAAGCTCTTCAGGTTTAGGGAAGTATGACATGCTTAAAATCTCATTGTAAACATCAGAGTTGACTTTAACCTTAATAACCACCAACCTCTTTGTATCACTCTTTTTCTTCCACTAAACTTTCCATCTGCATGACCTTGTTGGGTATTTTCCATGTATATTTAAATAATGTCTGACATTTAGATTCTGGTTTTATGAGAAGCTGGACTTTGGGATCAAAATAACTGTACTTAACACGTGTCATAGATCATCTTATGTTAAAAAAGGTATTTATTGAGTTTTTTTTAAACATAACTTTTAATTCAGTTCTGATCTTGTCCCACATAGGGAAATTTGGTGCACAGCAGCAATCAAAGAATCAAGACTTAATCCACATAACAGCACAGATATAAATACAGCATTAAGAAATAAAACCACCACGTTACACGCCATGCTTCGTCATTAGGTTTATATTATAATTTACTGAGATGCACCTGTAAATCTGCTGATTCCCCATCCCACCCCCTGCCTCTCTCTGGAGGAAGCCCAGCCTGTGTGCCGTTCTGTGCTCTCTAAACCAGTCCATACCACTGTCTGCGGGACTTTGTTTACACCGGCTTCAGATGGGAGAAAAAAAAATGGGGGTTGTAATCTAAAGAGAAGGCTTTTTTTCTTTCTTCTGCAAAAGAGAGACCCCAGGGGTCAAAAAATGGAAATGCTAATGCGTCGCCCTGGCATCAGCTGGCTCAGTATGTGTCTGAATTTCCTCTTCATGAATTCTTGGTGCATTTTTCTTTTCCTCTCTGCATTTTAAAATGTTGAAAACGGGTTTTGCTGAGTTTATTTTTTGAAGGAATCTTCCCCTCCTTGCAGTTTTTGACCCACTTGTTGAAGTTAGAAATAGACAAAAAAAGGGACTAAAATGTGGTCCTGATAAAGCATGATAACTGTGTAGAAACTGTGTGTGTATGTTGTGTATGCGTGCGTAATGTACACTTCACTTCCAATTATCACCCCCCCCTTATCTACAGGTCACGACTCTTTGTTGCATTTGCTCATATTCCCCCTCACTTATACATCTATTTTCGGTGTTTAAAATTATAGTTTTTTTTATGTTGACAAAAATTTTAGGATTAAAAAAAATGATCTTTGTTGTAGCTGGTTTATTTGGAGTGTGAATATATCACTGACTTAAAAAGAAAACACCCATATGAATAAATGGGCTTAAAAAAGCGAGAAATTGACATTCCTTCACTACGCTCTGCCTACATTTCCAGATACATATGATCAGAAATATGTAAAAAGCTTATGAAAATATAAATAAATATGTAATAAGAGTGAGTTTTTTTCTTCCTGAAAGATGTGTTTGGTCTTTTTCTGATAGCCAGTCACATTGTGTTATTTCAGGTTGTTTTTTCCAGTGCGATGAAACAGATGGTCCAAAAGCTGCAGCAGTCCGGATGCTCCGTCCATCTGCCTCAAGCATTTACTATTCTTTTCTAGCTTTTTGAAGAAAGACTGGCTGAATGCTAGTAATAACTATCTTCAGATGCCGGTCTTCACCACTTTTGACACTGCCGTCAAAGCCCATGTGACAAGAAATAACCTTGATGCCTTTTTGCTTTGAAAAACCACAGACCAATTCCCCACCTGACATTTTTTTAAACGCAGTTGTTTTTTTTTGTGTTTTTTTTTTTTTTAAATAGATTACATTTCAAATGAGTGAAAATGTGAATGATTAGATGTAGCTCTTGATTTATTGTGCCATAAATATTGGTATTATTGGATCCAGTTGCAGCATTTTCCTACAAATGTTACTTGATAGAGTTTTGATGGCACACTTGTAACTGAAGTAGTTCAAGATAATTGGACATTTTTATTTATTATTGGACATACGGTATCTAAATAATAAGAAATGAACTCTATAAGGAATGGAAGCTGAAATTAATTTTCAAAGTTTTGCTAAAGACAAACATTTTTATATCACCTCATGTTGTGATGACCTCTGGCACTTTTTTAAAAGCAGACTAAATTTAAGGTCAGTCAGGAAAAGAGAGTGAAACTTGAAGCATGAAAGAACCCTTCAAATCAAATAAAAATTACTGGCATTATGTTTAATAGTAGATTCAGTGGCTTACATAAGATATGTTGCTGAGAACACATTTTATCACGCGAAGAACGGTGCTAGAGTTAACAGTTTTCTGCTTTGGCTCAAAGCCGCTACTTAAATGAAAACTTTTCTCTTTTTGTGCCGATTACACAATTACACATGCTTTTCTTTCTAATCCTCCTGTAAAAGTCTTTACAAGTATGCCAAAATTCAGCTGCACACTTTCTGATGAAGAGCAGAAAGTAAGCCCACTTTACATTTAGGACATACTAACTCTCCTAATTAGATAAACTACTTGGGAAAACATTAGTTCTGACACGCAGCAGCCAGGTATTATTAGGGTTTAACAGACTTGCAAATCTTCAATAAAAATAATCCCAAGACAACGTTTAATCAGGAAGCAGCCTTACCTGTGACCATAGAGCAGTGTTTATGACCGGAGTACCTGGAGAGAACCCACGGATGCACAGGGAGAACATGCAATCTCCATGTCCAAAGACCCTGGTCCTGGAATCGAACCCAGAACCGTCTTGCTGAAAGGCAGCAGTGCTACCCACTGAACCACTGTGCAGGCCATCATCTAGTCTTTATTATTTTATAATATATAAATTCCGTAATCTATACATTTATGTATGTTTTATGGTGCATTGTTTAAGTCATCAATTTGAACACTTTGACACTTATCAAGGTATAAAGAACTATACTTTTTAGGATTTTCCCCCCTATTTTTCTTGTAACAATTCCTCGGTTTTGCATAAAACAGTCCTATAAATTGGGTTCCAGGAAAAGATGTGAGAACCCCTGAGAAATAACAATATTCTACTTTTTTGTGAAGAACATAAGGTGTGTATCTGGTTGCCTTGACCTGCTGTAGAGGTGCAGCTCAGTCTAATTGGTTGTATTTCTCAGGCCTTCCTTGCTTCACTAATTTCCCAACTCCACACATACTGTAGTGATACCACAGGAGGCATTCTGGGAGGGTAAACTGGGTCACACCACCTGAGGACAAGATGCTCTGAGAAGCGGTCAAATATGCTGCATGTCGCCACTCTAAAGTTTTTTTTCCTGATAATTTTTTTAGCCTGCACTGATGTGAACCCTCATCAGCCCCATAAGGACCCGCCAGCTGAATTTATTCAGCAGATTTGTTATTTTTGACTCCAGTCGTCAGACTGGGGGGATGCTGCAGGGCTTCTGCTGAAGCAGAGGGGAAAGCAGTAAGGAAAAAAAAAGGAAAGTCTCAAAATCAAAGAGTGTAGAAAGAGTAGCGCCAAAAGCTTGTATAAAGAATGAACGCCTGCTGAAATTATGCTAGCTCTTGCACTGTGAATATAGATACATGATTTGTCATTCTTACATCAGTGCAACTAAAAGCAGAAGTAGATCCTCCCATCTATCGGATTGCATCAGTTTGAGTTCAGTCCATGATGCCCGCTTTTATTTTTACTTCGAAACTAGGAAAACTTATATGAAGCTGATTGTTTATTACTGAAAAAATAGACCAAGTATTTCCTGTATGCTTTATTTAAAGGTTAGGAACTTCATCTCCACAACCAGTGAGGTCATTTCCCAGTCAAAACCCACATGATGCATCATGAGGAACTCAGCCTTTTGACTATTTCTAGTTGGTCTTAAACATGTTTTAATGATACATGTTAAAGTCCATGTTAAAGCCGTGCTTTATTGTTTAATACAAATATTTTATTTCTTATTATTTTTAAGATGTCCTGAATCAATAATTTTTAGAACCACTTTCCTTTTCAGTTGTAGCTCACACTTTGTGAGAAAGGATCAAAATGTCTGTAAATAATAATTTTCAAGGATTCTCCATTGGATTTTAATTTGACAAAGCCATTCTAACACATTAACACTAATGCTTTGACCTAACCATTTGCTTTATTTATCAATTTTTTTTTCAATTTTTTGCAGCTTCCGGTCCTTGTAAATGAATCGCTTCTATTTACCTCCGTCCATTATCACTGCCAGATATAAGTAGTGTTCTACAGTTAGATACCACCACCTCAATACTACACTATAGGGATGTGTGTTCATGGTGATTGTTAGGATTTTCACGATCTTTAACAAAGGCTTAAGAAGTTGCCTTTGATTCAAAACGTTTATTTACAAACCTGCTTATTCTGCTCCTAATGGTTTTAAAACATAGCAAACAAAGCTATTGGTCGTCACCTGAAGTATTAAAAGATTAAAAACTTAAAGATTTTCTAAGCATAGTATTGGAGCTAAATTGCAGGAAAGAAAATTTACATAAAGAAGAACGTAGGTGAGTAACTGAAGGCGCTCTTATCTGATGAAACCAAAATAGCCACTTTTCAACTGAAATTCCCAGAATTGAATCTGGGATATGATTTAACCAGGAAATATGAATTTCGGGTGATTCATCAGCTTGCTTTAACATTATGACACAATCGACCTGAGAGAGACGTCGCTATACCTTTAATAATACACTGGCAGTAATAAGAACATACACTGTTGATCAGCTTAAGTAAATCCCTAAGCATAAAAAGCTTATTTCATGTTTAATTCTGGTGAGAGTTGCTTTTTAACTGTATGATTCATTTAAAATATCCACCAATAACTAATTTACTGTTATTTTATCATAATAACCAGGTAAAGCTCAGATATTTACAACTCAAACAGGAAGTGTTTTTAGTCTAAATTGTTTTAATAGCTTTCAGCCTGCATGTATTATGCTATGTTTGGCCAAAAAACATATAACCCAACAAGCCGTATTGTGTTGTACAATGGCTGAGGCAAAATCTTGGTGTGGAGATGTTTTTCTTTACTTGGCATCAAGGAAGGTAAAGCTAAATAGAAGCCAATCCTGGAGGTAAAACCTTTGAGACCGGAAGAGAGGTTCACATTCACAACCAAGTTAGTTCATCAAACATAGAGCCAGAGCTACAATAGAATGGTTTGAAGTATGGGGTACTTGTGCAAATTCAACATTATGCTAGTCAAAGTTAAGACCTAGATAAAATGATAAGCTGTGCCAAGACTTGACAGCTGAAGTTCAGCAAACTACCTTAATTTTCATTTGCACATTTTAAAATATCACATTGAAAGACATTTATGGAAAAGAAAAATTCTAATTAACTTACTTAATTTTGCAAACAAAACATTCTTTTTACACTCACTTGAGGTAGTTTTTGTTTTAAGAAGAATACATTTCCCTACCCTTATTCCTTATTTTATTCGTATATCTTATTTGTATTTACAATCTTACTTTTCTCTCTTATGTTAACATTTGCACTGCAAGAAAATAGCTGCCCACAAGGGATTAATAAAGTGATTCCGATTTGAAAACAGAGAAAATGACATGACCTGACAGATCAGCTGTTTCTGATGCAGGTGTCCAACATCTATGGTCTATGCTAGTTAGCTATATCTACTTCCTGTTTATGAAAGCCAAGCGTAACCTACACTTTTAAGGACATTTCATTACAGAACCTTAATGACACTAAATGCACTTGAAGAGGGACAATGATCTGGTGAAGGATCCAACAACATCTGAAATACTATTATAGGCTGAGCAATGCTGTCCAGCTGGTGCTTTCATTAGGGTCAGTTTTTAAAAGTGCGACGCTGGTTCTTCAAAGCAGGGTAGATGTGGAGCCTGCTACTTTAATGTGATCTATTCTGTGTTTGACAGATAGAATCCTAAAAGAACATGTTTTTTTTATGTGAGTTATAGCAGAGGCCTCTCCGTCCATTTGGTCTGAACAAACAACTTTACCATGAGTTGTAAATAATCCTTCCGGTCGTCTCACTGCTCATTGGTCAAGCTCTGGCTCACAAACCCTCTGTTCCTCTTTATTTACATAAATGCACATTTGTTTCCTTCCACCACCTGTCAGCCCACATCAGCAGCACAACGTTTTTTTCCTCAACATCATTTTCCAGCACAGATGTCACCGTTTCCTGGAAAGTGGAGGTTGTGTCATTGTAAAGCATAGTGAGCAGACATTTCCCTTCACCTGTGGGATATGATATGAGGGCAAAACGGCTCATAACTGAGAAGAACAGGCAGGCCATGAGGCACTGCAAAGTAATGGAGACTTTATGGCCCCAGTGGGTGATGGTGAGGAAGGAAATGACTGTGCAGCTTCAGTTGCTATGTAAACGGCATCCAAACTGAAAGAATATATATTTTTATGATGACATTTTCTTCACAAAATTGAGATATAAGGTCAATAAATTCCAATATGAACAATAAATTGAAGCAACACCAAAAAGGTGCATAGAACATCAGCTGTACTGTGACATTACGGAACTTCGACTATAATAAGAGCCCAAAGACTTAGCAGGAATTTTATTTGACAAAATTAGATGCTCTGTTACCTTTGTTCTGTGTCACGGTTTTGTCGTGGGATGGAGTGAAAAACTTTGCAGAGTATCCCTTGCTTCCTGCTCGATAACTGCTGAGAATAGACACCAGCCGCACCCTTAATCCTGGAGGGATAAGTTGATATAAACACTAGATGGATTTCCTCAGCCCCTAAGCTACCAATAGCATTAAGATATGGCAGCCATATTGGATTTGAGGACAGACTCTCAAAATCAGCTATCCAAGGTACTGTTTTGCTTACCAATAAGCTTTTTTTGTGTAAATATGTGCAAAAAAGAGAAGAAAGTAGAATTAAATGACAAATTTACACTAAACGAGAACTCATATCCCGTAAATTTTCATTTGTGTAAAAAAATTGTAAGTGGGTCTTGGTTATTCTTATTTAAAAAAGATTAAGAATTTATGTCTATGTAATGCACTTGTATTTACATAAGATTAATTGAAACACCGGTGCAGCTTTTTAATATATAATTTTCAATTTAACATTTATCTAATAAGAAATGTCCCATTAAATTGATAATTTCTTTTTTTTAAGGAATTCCTGGCGAAGACAGTTCCACAGTAATTCAGTACATTGGACACAATTTCATGAGGGTATTCAAAAATATTTAGAAACCATGGATTTTATTTCAAAACCTTTGCGAAAGAGTTTAAACTGGCTTTTTGAATCAGATCCTTTCATTTCCCGTCTTTTTTGTAAATCGTTCCATTTTGTGCTGCAAAATATTGCAATGCCACCTATAGTATAATATCCATCCATTTTCTAATACGCTTATCCCAAGTGGGGTCGCGAGGGGTGCTGGGGCGAGAAGCGGGGTACATCCTGGACAAGTTGCCAGTCCATCGCAGGGCAACACAGAGACAAACAGGACAAACAACCACTCACACACAAACCCACACCTAAGCAGAATTTAGAGAAGCCAATTAACCTAACATTCATGTTTTTGGACTGTGGGAGGAAGTCGGAGTACCCAGAGAGAACCCTTGCATGCTCAGGGAGAACATGCAAACTCCACTATAGTAAAATAGTGTGTTACAATAAGTTTCATTATCCACAGAAAATCTGCATCTTTCCAATGACTCACACTGTTGAAATATTAAGGACTTAATAATGAATGTTTCATTTTAGTCCAAATTAAATAAAATCAAATCAAAAAGAAGACTTAGTTAGTTAGTTAAATCCACAGTATTTAGGTTTATGTTGTATAAAACGCATATATATTTCATGTTCACTTCAATTATAACACTCTGCTGCTGCGCCTAGAGTTAAATATATTATATTAATATTTCTCTGAGCAATGGGACCCAAAAAATAGTGTTTCAAGGCTTTGTAAAAAAAAAAAAAAAAAGTTTAAATTGATTTTTTTTTCCTATACTTTTATTCTTTTAATGGCACTTAAACTACATCAAACAGAGATCTCAGTTCGGAGCTGCTGTATAAGAAAGACCATTGATGGAAATTTACGCACACTTCCGCTTTAAAAGCCAAGCTGCGTCCTGCTTCAGAGTCGCTGTTGAAACGGAGCAGCCATCAGATTAGATCCACCTTCAGCCCGACGCTCGGGGTTAGATCTGCTCCTCTGTGCGCGCGGCTCCAAGAAACGCGCAATCTGTATTTTATTTCATTTTTTTAAACATATATCCATACATTTGATCGGATCCCTGCGCAGAAACACCATCAGGTGAGGTTCCACCTGTGTTCCTGTTCAGATGGCTGCCTCACCCCACTTTACATTCTCCCCTCGCCCCCACTTGTTGATGGGGCAGCGGGGCTCTCCCTTTAATTCTTATGCGTAATTTGGATCCAGCTCAGAGCGACGGTGGAAGTTTGCGCTGTTTCCTGACAGATGGTTGCAATGGGGAGCGTTCGGTAACAGCCCTCGGCATCGGATTACACAGGCAGGCTGCTGCCAGGTAAAGCAGCAGAATGGGGAACCAGATGGACCGGCTGTCACATTTAAGTTACGCAGAAGTTCCCACGGTGGATCCGAACGGCCTGGACACGGACGATGGTCCGCGGATCGGAGTCTCTTACATCTTCTCAAACGACGACGACGAGCTGGAGGACGGATGCGCGGGGGATGGCGGAGAAAACAACGCCAACGAGGAAGAGAAAAACTACGATCGGCGCGACGAGGTGGAGTGCGCCGTCTACCACAGAGAGGAGTGCGTCTATGAGAAGAGCGCCAAGTGCGCAAACCTGGAGGTTTACTCTCCGGAAAACCTGCTCAACAAGTGCAAACCGGGAGACTTGGTGGAGTTCGTGGCCACGGGGCAGTACCCGCACTGGGCTGTGTATGTCGGGGACTTCCAGGTGGTGCACCTGCACAGAGCCGAGGTGAAAAACAGTTTTCTGACAGACGCTAGTCAGGGGAGGAGGGGTCGGATCGTAAACGACTGGTTTAAATTCAAGCCCCTGTGCGCGGAGATGGTGGTGCAGAACGCGATGGAGCAGGTGGGGCTGAAGGACCGGGAGCTGAGCTGGAGGAACTCGGAGAGCTTCGCAGCCTGGTGCAGGTTCGGCAAGAGGGAGTTTAAGATGGGCGGGGAGATCCGGATCGGCAAACAGCCCTACAGGCTCAAAGTGTTTGTGTCGGACAAACACTCCCACGTGTTGGAGTTTCAGAGCTTGGAGGATGTTATCATGGAGAAGAGGAGGAACGAACACCTGGGCAGGACAGCCGTGCTGCAGGAGCTGAGCGCGCATTTTAGAGGCTTAGGAGAAGAAAAGTGAAATTACTGCTCCTCAAAATATCTGCTCCCCTGGTCTTTTCTATGCCACCGTTAAACCTACAGGAAGTTTGCAAAAAATATGCACACCTTCAAAATTCACATTTTGTCATATT